AACTCACCAGACTGACAGATGCAGGTGCGCGGGAGGCGGCGGGAGGCGGCGGGAGGCGGCGGGAGGCGGAGGTGGGGGTGGTGCCAGCAGCCAATGGGTTAATGGTCCCGTCAGGGGCTCCACAGCGGACCAGGGGTCAGATGTCTCTCTAAGATGGGGACAGGCATGTGGGCTGCTATTCTAGGGCTCTGATCACGGCTGTCTATTTATAGCACTGGTGGGGGCCGCCTCACATAGGCAGCAGAGAGGCTGCCCTGCTGCAATGTCACCGTCGTCACCGCCTCTGCAGGCTGCGGGCACCTGCCACTACCGCAGGGAACTGAGGGGTCTTGGTCCAGCAGGGACCCCAGGGCCTCGGAGCACTGTGTGAGCCGGAAACGTGACTGGCCAGATGGGCAGCGCCATGGAGCCCCCTGGGAGTGCATACCTGCACCTGGGCGCCGTGACGTCCCCTGTGGGCACAGCCCGCGTGCTGCAGCTGGCCTTTGGCTGCACCACCTTCAGCCTGGTGGCCCACCGGGGTGGCTTCACGGGCGTCCAGGGCACCTTCTGCATGGCTGCCTGGGGTTTCTGCTTTGCTGTCTCCGCACTGGTGGTGACCTGTGAGTTCACACGGCTCCACGGCTGCCTGCGGCTCTCCTGGGGCAACTTCACCGCCGCCTTCGCCATGCTGGCCACCCTGCTGTGCGCCACGGCTGCGGTCCTGTACCCGCTGTACTTCGCCCGGCGGGAGTGTCCCCCCGAGCCTGCCGGCTGTGCTGCCAGGGACTTCCGCCTGGCAGCCAGCGTCTTCGCCGGGCTCCTCTTTCTGGCCTACGCCGTGGAGGTGGCCCTGACACGGGCCCGGCCCGGCCAGGTGACCAGCTACATGGCCACAGTGTCAGGGCTCCTCAAGATCGTCCAGGCCTTCGTGGCCTGCATCATCTTTGGGGCGCTGGTCCACGACAGCCGCTACGGGCGCTATGTGGCCACCCAGTGGTGCGTGGCCGTCTATAGCCTGTGCTTCCTTGCCACAGTGGCCGTGGTGGCCCTGAGTGTGATGGGCCACACAGGGGGCCTGGGCTGCCCCTTTGACCGGCTGGTGGTGGTGTACACGTTCCTGGCTGTGCTCCTGTACCTCAGTGCCGCCGTGATCTGGCCAGTCTTCTGTTTCGATCCCAAGTATGGCGAGCCCAAACGGCCCCCTGACTGTGTTCGAGGCAGCTGTCCCTGGGACAGCCAGCTGGTGGTGGCCATCTTCACCTATGTCAACCTGCTCCTGTACGTCGCTGACCTCGCCTACTCCCAGAGGATTCGCTTCGTGCCCAGCCTGTAGCCCACATCGGCAGCCCGCCCACCTCTGCTCTCTGGCCAGCAGCTCCAGGCCCTGCAAGGGAAACTCAGGTGAACCGAGGTGTCAAGTATCGAGTAGGAGGGAAGTCGCGGGCTCAGGGCAGATGAAGTACAACGGGAGAGGTCGTGCCCCGACTTCCAGGCTGGGCTTACGGAGGAACGGAGGGACAGGGGCAGGACAGCAGGGCTGAGGCCCTGAGCAGACGCAGGGGAGAGCCTCACCTAGGCTGATCACCAGCTCTCTCTCTCTCAGCATTTCCCGGCGCTCCTGGGGCTCAGTGCTGGTCACTGTAACATAAGGGAAAACTTTAAAGCCGCTGCTGTTGTGACCCATTTTGCAGCTGGGGACGCTGAGGCCAGAAGGATTTGCGAGGCACCCAGTACCTCCATGAGTGTCTGGAGACCACACTCAGGCTGGGTAAGGCAAGCTGAAAAATGAATGACTTTCAGAGGAAAGGCACCCAGCAGAGCAGCTGGGCCAATCAAGGGGAGGGAGGGGCGTGTGGAGCCGGAACCACTCCTGGATCAGAGAGGCAGCTCCCAGAACCCTGCGAAGAGGGGCCTGCCTGGGGAGCTGTGCCGGCTCACAGAGGAGCCAGAAATCTGGACCAGCCTCTCCCACCCATGTCTGCGAAGCCTCCGGGCTAGTAGCCACAGCCTTTGGAAGCAGGCTGCCTCCGGGGTGTCCGCCGGCTGGAAGTGGTGCAGGTGGCCTGGAAGAGCCTACAGAGCCCAACGGCGCCAAGTGCACAGTGGACAGAGAAGACCTGGTTCTGCCATAGCCACAGAGCCCCACCTGGACACCCACCATCGGCTGTGACAAAGCAGCATCAGCAGTGGCCGAGTGGGCATCTGTGCACTGTGGGCCTCTGTGGCACTGGGAGGGAGCCCAGCTGAGGACAGCCGCTGGACACAGAATCTGGGCACTGCTTGCCTCTGCTCAAGGGTCTAGTTGCCCAAACACTCCTGACAACGAGGCCATCATCCTCCACGCTCCAGCCAGCTTCTCCTGCACAGAAGCCCAGCCTGGACCAGCCAGGAGCTGACCCACTGGCAGCCCCTGAGTCCAGGCTGGGTGGGCAGGGGCACAACAGCCCCTCAGCCCATTGACTGGGTCCCACTGACGTCCTTGAGCAGGAAATAAATGCTGACAGTTAGATGCACCCTGCCTCTGGACCAGCAGTCTCTTCTGAGGGGACTGTGGGCACCTGCCCCTCCTGGCGGCCCCTCCTAGCATGCTGTGGGGGAAGGCTGAGGAAGAAGTGGCCCGGGATTGTGGTCAGGGCAGGCTGGGCTCCTGAGGGTCTGAGCAGCCTCCTGGGGAAGGGGCAGGCAGTGTCCTCTGCCTCAGAGGGGTGACAGGTCAGCCTGGCTCTGACAGGCCTGTGGCTCATGCCCATCCCTCCCAGAGGCCTGCAGCGCTCACCTCCTCCCCCATGCCCATCTAGGGGTCTCGAGAGGCCCCGGACATAGCGATGGACAGACGCATTGTTGTTCCTTTTGGATGGCGGTCCCCACAACCAGGCCTGTGCTGCTGCCATGGAGAATATAAGGAAGGGGCCTCGCTGGCCCCTGAGGAGGGGTCTTGCTCACGTTAGCCAACAAACAGGGTCTGGCCGACGTCCTTTACTCAGAGGGGGTGGGTCAATGGCAGATCCCAGACAAGGGCAGTCAGCTGTGGGGCCTGCTGCTGGCTGAGAGTGGCGGGGAGGGGTACAGGGATCACCTGCCTCCTGACTCAGGGGAGACCTGGGCACCAGTCTTGCAGGGGACCCAGCCTCCTCTCCTTTTTTTTGGCTGGCCAGAATTCTGAAACGAGTTAATTGTCACCAACTTCCCAATTTTCTCCCTGTCCGGTGGCTTTCTGCCACCTTCTCAAAGGTCCTGAGGGAGAGAAAGGAAGGGGAGGAGACCCAGGGCTGGGAGGTCTGGCTGGGAGGCTTCCTTCAGAATCAATGCTGTTGATGGTGTATCCCTGGTCCAGAGGGCTGTCCATTTTGGGTTTTTGGGTTTTTAGATAAAAGTGTTACTTGCTGTTATCACTTGGGGAAAACTGATTTTGAAATGGCCTGGGGAGCTTGGCTCTCAAAGCACCGTGGCGATGCTAGCCTTCGTGCCCCAGGTTTGAGCTGTCCATCTGGACAAGCGCCTCCCATGGCCACCACAGAGCAGCCTCCCAGTGTTGGTGGTGGTCATTACATGTCTACACTGGGGGGAACAGGTAGACAGATAGCCAGAACACGTGGCCCTGCCGCTGTGGCAGGAGCATCCCAGGCCTTCTGAAATGATGTGCTAGAATAGCCTGTCATCATCTAAGATACAGCACAGAAAAAATAAGGTAGCTCCTCTCACCCCTTGGCAGGGGAATGGGCTGCCAGTGATCCCTTCTGACTTCGCCCTTAATCTCACCACCGACAGGGACCCTGACTATCCAGAGCCCGAATCAGATGAACTGTGAGCATGCTCTCGGGGGGAAGTGACTGGAGCTTCACTCTCCCTAAAACCCAGGGCAGGCATGATGTTTGGGTATTGGAGGATGCTCCGGGTTGCATGGGAGCTGGGGCACGATGGGGTGGGCTTCCTGTGTTTGCTAGCGGAGCACCACTGTGTGCCCAGTTAGAAGAACACCTGTGGCTGCAGTGTCATGCCTTTCTTTTCTTTTCCTTTCTTCTTTTCTTCCTCCTTTTTTTTTTTAGGTAGTGTCTTACTCTTGTTGCCCAGGCTGGAGTGCAGAGGCCCGATCCTGGCTCACTGCAACCTCCACCTCCTGGGTTCAAGCGATTCTTCTGCCTCAGCTTCTCAAGTAGCTGGGATTACAGGCGCCTGCCACCACGCCCGGCTAATTTTTTGTATTTTTAGTAGAGATGGGGTTTCACCATGGTGGGGTTTCACCATGTTGGCCAGGCTGGTCTCGAACTCCTGACCTCAGGTGATCCGCCCACCTCGGCCTCCCAAAGTGCTGGGATTACAGGACTGAGCCAACGCGCCCAACGGAAATAGTGTTATATTTAAAATGTTTCCACTTAGCAAATTGTTTTCAACCCCGCCCCC